CCACCACCACCAACACAGGCTGTTGTTGCCTTTGTGAAGTGAATGCATTGTCATTTTTTTCAAGTATTCTGTAAGATCTATCACAATACTATGAAGCAGGATTAATATTTACACTGTACAGAGTTCCTGAGGATCAATTAGAGAGGTAATCATTTTTGGTTTCTGTTAACAAAATCTGGCATAGAAAGTCAAATACTACACATTCTCACTTATTTGCAGAACCTAAAAGATGTTGGTAAGAAGCAGAGTATAGACTAATGGGGAAAGGAGAGGGAAAGAGACAACAACAGGTCCAGGATTTGGGTAAATAGGAGAGAGGAGTAACTTGTGATGTTCTACAGCACAGCAGGATAACTATGGTTGACAACAGATAATTATGTACTTCAAAGTAGCTGGCAGAGAGGAAAAATGATAAATATTTGAGGTGGCACATATGCCAATTAATCAGTACCATACAAGTATGTACAATTATGTGTCAATTTAAAGGTAAAAAATACCTAGGACTTTCAGATTAGCGGAGAACCCCTACAGTCTCAGAAATAGACTTTGCAAGACACAAGTTTCCTAACCCTAACAAGTTACACAGCTAGTGTAAGTCTGTTTTAAAGCTCTTACCATGACTCTGTGTGGTTTTCAATGCCCACAAAGCAACATTTTAGTTATCTTACACGTTCCTTTCAAATGTCCACAGTTAGAACACAGGAAAATGGGTCTGAGGAGGGGATGGCTTGTCCAAGGTAATCTAGCCAATCACATGAACATATCTTTTATGTTTACGAATTTGTCCTATGACACTGCCAAGAATCAAGAAGATAATTTTAGTAGCAAGAAATCTGAGCTAGTCAACCAGAAGGCCTCTGACAAGGTCTGAAAGGGGAAAGCTCAGGGTCTAAGTTTGATAACCTAATTTAAACCTGCCTATGAAACTTCACCACTGTTAACAATTCTGAGCCCAAAAATAGAAATAAAAATAAACAATCCTCCTAGAAATGCCTCAGACTAGCATTCAAACCTCTTCTAAATCAAGTCCCAACCTACCCATTCAGTCTGCTATCCCCCAGACTCCCATGTTTAACATACACTGGCTGATTCACAGGGCCCCAAAACACAGCATTTTCTTGTCTTTATGCTTTTTCTGAGACAGTAGCATCTTTATTCTCACTGATCTCTATCTTGCTCATCAAGACCTGTTTTAGTGTCTACCTTCTCTGAAAGTCAGCCTTGTAGACTTGAGAGAGGTTTCATCTTTGGTTCTCATATTGCCCATATGCTTCTATGTAGCAAGGGTTCTCTTTACCTAACTAGACTGTGGGCTCCTTGAAGATGGAGCCTGGATCCCTGTGATCTACTGACTGTTTGTCTCAGGCTCTGGTATAGAGGACACTTGTTCAGTGTCCATGTTCACAGTCTACATCTCTCTGCTGTAGATGAGATAAACATAGCTATAAGAAATCCCAGTTCACCATGGTAGGTATTATAACAGCTTTCAGGGAAATGGATGGGGGAGCTGATTTGTCTGAGGTTAAAAAAAAACTTTGGGATGGTATAGAATAAATAAAATTAAGAAATTTCCTCTAAGAAGGTTTAATGCTTCGGTTATAGACACATGGTTCACTCAACATCAGATTCACACACAAGGCTAAAGGTTGAACCATAAAATTTAAAGTTGGACTGTCTCTAGAGAAGAAAACTATGAAGTGTGACTTTTGAAGACCTGTAGAGCCTGCTCCCACCTCCAAGTACAAAGTGTGGGGAGGAATCTCATTTAAAGCATCAAAATAGTATATATGGGCAATAAAATCATAAATAGGGTTACCGTATTTGTAAGTCTTGAAATGTGTGGTTTTGAATGCATTTGTTACAGCTAGAAGGCTGACAGATGGTTGATCACATGCTTTCAGGCTAGATTCATGGATGAGTACATATCAGGACTCCTCTGACAGCAGCCACCCTGGCCCACTGCACCTATTTTCAGACTCACATCTGATCTGCAAAGCTCATTGCATTCTAGTCATAAGAGTGGCTCTTCATTGACCATAGTCAGTCAGGAAGGAGTGCACTTAGAGGGTTGTGGGTGGTACTACCTGTGGATGCCACATAAAAGCCAAGACCACTAATCTCAGCCACAGCATGAAAGTCCTGAAGTGTTTCCAAAGAGCTCCGGGTTCTGCTTCTCCCACCCCACCCTTTCTTTATCATCAGGCCAGACCACTGAGGGAAGCAGGATAGGGGTTTTAATTTATATTTTACTAAGGTGTCTATTGACAGCCAGAGAAACTAAAGAACTTGTCAAAGTTTCATAGCAAATCAACTCTACTTTATATATTAGAGGAGAAGTCAGAGATATAGTCTCTATTGTACATTTAAAAATATACTACATAGTTGGAAGCTAGGCTGGGAGGATCACACAATCACAGCCATTCTGGGATACATGGAAAATTTCAGACCAGCATGGGAAATATAGTTAGACCCTGTTTCCAAAATTAAAGGAAATAAAATGAAAATTAGAATTTGAAAGACAGTAGGGGATTGCCCTATAGACCAGTGTCCTACAAAGTCAAGTACAACTGCATTTTAAAATAATGACAGATAAATCAGATATACACATCATCTTTTCCCAACACTCCCATTCCCTTTTAGCTCAATCAAATGCCTATGCAAAGAAAAACTTCCCAAGAGCCTGAAGCAAGGATTTTGATCTGTGAAATACCTGTCTACTTTTCCTTTTTTCTCACCTACCTGTTCTCTTAGATGCTTTTTCTTCCATCGCTAATAATCCAATGGCTCTCCTGTATTTACAGACCCCCAAAGCAGGTCCAGTGGGTGTCATCAAATAGGAAACCCGGAGACATCCGTTGGTTCCTAGGAAGGCTGAGGAAGCGCCCTTGTTAAGGGGTGTGTACAGTGTTGAAATATTAGCTGCTGTAGCTGCCAAAGAAGTTCCTGAGCCACCCAGAGCCTTTTCTCTTCAGTCCAACCATGTGTTCACCTTGCCCCAAAGGTCAGTACTAATATTAACAAGTCGCTGGAGAATGGGGAAATTAAAACCAGCTATTTAGGTGAGCAAGAACTGGATTTCCTTGGGGCTGAGCTTCATATCTGACTTCAGTGCAGTATGGGCAAAATCTCTTGCTTGAAAGCAATCTAGCAACACGAGGAAAAATGTTCATTTCCCTTGTCCTAGTTAACCCACTCCTGGGATTTGATCCTTAGCCAGCAACTCCCAAAGCATGGAAAAGCTGAAGGCACAGACTTTTCTTAATTACAGAGCTTTTTTTCTGACAGCAATAACTAGTAACCGTTAAGTCCTCTGGGAGTAAGGAAGTAGCCCACTGTGGTTCTCCTGCAGCCACAGAAGATGATGGTGCTAAGGCTGTGAAATTCTGAGGTGTGTGCGAATAACTCTGCAGCAATTTTTAGTAAAAATCTTAGGGTGGAAAGCTATACTTTTCCCTGGAAATTGGGCTATGCCTGTTAATTCTGTTTCTGTGCTCTCAAAAATAAGAACCCATTGCTATTGCCCTGTTTACAGTCATCCGTGAAATACTTATTCCCTTATCATACACATTGTGTCAGAGATGGCCACTGCTTTCAGGCTGTTGGAAGTCTAGTGATAAGAGAAATCAGTGGGAGTTGTACATCGTAGTTAAATTCTGTGATAGAATGACCAGAGTCCAGTGTTGCCCACAGGAAAATACTTAAATGCAGAGGTGTGTGGACAGAAAATATTAATTTAAAAAAACAATTGTTTACCTGGTTAAGAAGGGTTTAAATCTTGGCTCTACCACTTCTGTGACACTGAGACGAATTAACTCAACTTCTACTTAGCTTCCGCGTCTTTTCCTGGTTTATCCTAAGAATGAAAGGACACAATGTAGCCGGAAAAACCATTGCTGCATCCGGAGACAATATTATTCTGAAGCTTAAATTTTCCAGGCCTCAATTTTGCACATCTAAAAAATGGAGCCAAATCCAAGTGTTCTGTCTCGTCCTTTACAAGCCACGAGAGCCAAGATATAATGGCTATACAGGGAGGATTTGAGGCAGTCTCCTGCCTCCAGACTCAATAAAAACAGAGGCCATCTGCGCCATCTTCTTTTTTTTTTTTTTTTTTTTTTTTTTTTTTTTTTTTTTTTCCGAGACAAGGTTTCTCTGTGGCTTTGGAGGCTGTCCTGGAACTGGCTAACTCTTGTAGACCAGGCTGGCCTCCGACCTCACAGAGATCCGCCTGCCTCTGCCTCCCGAGTGCAGGGATTAAAGGCGTGCCACCACCGCCCAGCTAATTTCCCAATCTTTCAATTGAAAAAGTTCCCTTTGCCCCTGCCCACAAGACTCCAGGGGGCAGAGGCCCCTCAGCCACCGCCAGGGGCCGCTCACTTAAACTGGAGTTCTGTCTCGGTGGGGGGCAGGGCTTTGGCTGAGTTTGTTTCCCCAGAGGCCCGCCCTTGACAAAGTGCCAAATCCCATCTGTAAGTAACCTGACCCATCAAGGGGACTTTTGTGTCGAGAAAAGCAGTCAGACTCGGGCGTCCAGGCCAGTGTGCGGCCAGAAGAAAAGGAGCCCAACCAGGGACGCGCTTCTCACCAGTCACTCTTCCCAGGTTTTGGACTGGGTCTTGTTATGTTGCCCAGGCTGACCATGAATTCATGACTGCCCCTGCCTCAGTTTCCTGAGTATTGGGGTTACAGGCTTGGACGACCAAGCCCGGTTTTCCACCTCAGTTCCGTCTCCCGCCTGTGAGAACTGAACTCGAGGCCCCGCCCTGCGTGCGTCCTGCCGTCGCAGGGGCGGGGGAGGAGGAACCAGAGTAGAGCGCCTGCGCAAACGCGGGCGGAAGGCGGGGATCTAGCTCACTTCCGGGCGGCAATGCATTTCCGCGCTTAAGCTTTCCTTGTGAAAACCTTATCGAAAACCTTATCGCTTACCAAAATGTTGCGCGTGGTAAGCTGGAACATCAATGGCATCCGGAGTCCCCTGCAAGGACTGTCATGCCAGGAATCCAGCAACTGTCCCACGGCCTTACGACGCATTTTGGACAAGTTGGATGCTGATATTGTCTGTCTCCAGGAGACCAAAGTGACCAGTAAGTATTCGAGAATCCATGATCTCTACCGTGTTTTCTTTCTGCTAACTTTTGCTCCCTGCTCCACCTCATTTCATTTTGTCGTTTACTCATGCTTAGAATCCTGCCCCTATACCCACCTGAAAGTACGGATCCCTTTCCTCTTAAAGACCGCCACCCCAGCTGGAGCCCCTATTTCCCACTCCTGGCCTACTTTCCTAGTTGAAACCCTCACGCACAGTTCCCGCCCATTTTAGCTCTCCAACTCCGTACCTTGAATTTTCTCCTTTCATGCTCCTAAGCCATATTCCTCAATTCTCCATTCCTGCTCCCACCTCACTCCTTTAATACCCACCTAATTTTTGTCCTCAGCCCAGACTCTAATTTCTCCTTTCCATAGCCCTAAATCCTCTTTTTCTCTTCCACCTCAGAGCCCCACATTACTGTTTCATGTCTAGCTCCAAACTTAGACGTCCTAATTTCTTCTATCATCCCCAATTTATATTCCTAATTCCCTCTCCTACCCTCACTTCAGATCCCCAGTCTCCACTGCCAACATCCTCTCACCAGTCCTCTCATCACCTAGACCACAAGGCTTAGCTCTGATTGGCTCTGATCAGCTTTCCCTGTTTCCCCATCTAATCTGAATATCATTTCCCTTTCCTACCTTTCCATCTTTCTAGCTCCTGTCATCATAAACACTTCTTTCCCCTCCTCCCAGTTATGGCTGTGATATATGCCAGTAATTAGCTTCTAACTGTAATTCAAGTCTTTCATGGTTCCACAGTACTAGTTTTACCTCTGACTTTATGTTACATTTGTTTTTCAGGAGATGTACTGACAGAGCCCCTGGCTGTTGTTGAGGGCTATAACTCCTATTTCAGCTTCAGCCGCAGCCGTAGTGGCTACTCTGGTAAATGCGGTTTTCTGGGGTATTTAAGTTAGTGTTGGTGATGGAGGCAAGTAGCAGAAAAGTGTGTTGGTATTTAATGAGAAGGTAATGTATTTCAACTTTTCATCTCGAAAGTTAAAGCTGCATAATCTGAGGTGTAAAACCTAATATTTATGTGCCAAATGATCCATTTGGCCCCCAGAAGTACAGTAATGTCATGGTTAATTGTGTGAGCTCTGGAACTGAACTGCTAGGGTTCAAGTCATGGCTTACTTCCTAGCTATGTGTTCTCTGGCAAGTTACTTTTGTATCTCAGGTTTCCCACTTAGAAAATGAGGATAATGCTTACTTTCTAGGCTATTACATGGGTTTAGAATTCATACATGTGATAATACTAATAGCTAGTATTTTATCAGCATTTGCCATGTTTCTGTGTAAAATATATTATTGTTCTTGTAAAGTGTAACATTATTCTGTGGCCTTTTTTAGATGAAACTAAGGCCTCAGGGTATGGGTTAGGTGCTTCAGCTTCTACAGAGCCATATATGGCCCTTGAGTTAGGAAGATTGTTCATACGTTTTTAAAAACAGTTGCATTTAACAAAGATAACCAAAACTATTCCTTGTATGGGGACATTTGGAGTGGAACAGGTTTACAGTACTGTTTTGGCTGTCAGTTCCATTGAGAATACTCTTATCTTTCCCCAGGTGTGGCTACCTTTTGTAAGGACAGTACTACCCCAGTGGCTGCTGAAGAAGGCCTGAGTGGTGTGTTTGCCACCCTGAATGGGGATGTTGGTTGCTATGGAAACATGGATGAGTTCACCCAAGAGGAACTCCGGGTTCTGGATAGTGAGGGACGGGCCGTCCTTACACAACATAAGATCCGGTAATAGCCCATATCCTCCTACTACAGACCATCTCTGGTTGTAGTCTTAGTGTTCAGAATATAAGACCCAACTTATAGGTATGCAATTGCTATAGAAAAGTTCCCGAACTTGCCTTCCTGGACTATAGTATTGGCTGGGCTAAGTGATACTGGCAAATCATGCTTCCTTCTGAGCCTTGTGTTCCCCTCTCTACAGTGGGAGACTAGCCTGGGAGTACAGCTCGCTAATTACCACAGGCTACTCAGAAGGAGCTTAGCCAGCACAGAACTCGTTGCCCCAAATTGGTTTCTTCCTGGGTGTCTTATCTTCATGAATGGTAACCGCATTATCACCCAGTTTACCTGGATACTCTTTACCTCCCTGCCTTAGCCAGAGTCCATCCCCAAGACCTGCTCATCGCTGCTCATTTGTGTCTCCCAAATCCTTTTTCTTCTATCTCATGGACAGCCATTAACTGGAAGATGCATGGTGTGGCTGTGGAAGGGGAATCTTGAAATCAACCTGTTGGGGGCGGGATACTCTTTTCTCCCCAGCACATCAGAAGGGAAGGAGAAGACCTTGACCCTCATCAATGTGTACTGTCCACATGCGGATCCTGGGAAACCTGAGCGGTTGTCCTTTAAGATGCGTTTCTATCGCCTGCTGCAGATCCGAGCAGAAGCCCTCCTGGCAGCTGGCAGGTATTATATAAATCTAGGCAGCCAGGCTTGGTTAAACTCACCTTGGTGACTGACTTTGTGCAGTGCTCCATAAAAGAGCATAGAATTTTGTGGAGTTCCTTTACAGTCTGGTTGAGAACACTGTCCTACTGACCTGAACAGGCTTTGCTATCTTAAGAGCTGTGAGGACCGAGTAAAGTGATGTGAACACTGGCTTTGTACTCTGAGCAGTTTTTCTGGCTCTTCACTTAGCATAAGCCTCCAGGGCAGCTCTGCTCCATGCTCTCTTTTGTCAAATGCCTGTGTGAATCGCTCCCCCACAGAAGAGTTTTGAGAACAAAATGAGGTGAGGGTGGTAACCTGGTAGTTCCAAGGATAGAGGGGGTGGGGGAATGAGAGGGAGAGTAGGTTAGCATAATGAAGGTGCGCCTCCTCCCGGAGTGGTGTCTGACCTCAGCTTTTTTTTTCTTTTCATTTTTCTTTATTAAAACTTCATTATAAAGAACCCACACATTAAAAAAAATCACACACAGATTTTAACCAGATTCAAAAGCCTATATATCTTATTGATCTTCTGGGCAGTTAAAACAGCCATTCCAGAGCTGCAGGCAGAGTTTCACACTGGACCTTACTGCATTTCACACCCTCAGGCACTACACGTCTCTTGGCTCTGGAGCCTCGCTCAATGGTTTCCTTGCTTTTTTGACTATTCCTTTTTGGTCTCTTGTCTGAGCTTCTTCCTTAACTGCCCTTGTGTTGGTGTGAGTAGATTCTTCAGTCTACTGTTGTCCTCTGCTGTGCTCAGCTTTGAAGGATGAGAAAGTTGGCACTAGATAGAGATCACTGAAGCATTCATACCATTTGCAACAGTGTCAACTTTGCTGCTCAGAATTTGGTTCCTTATGTGTGAGAAGCATCCAGAATGTGTCAAGAGGGAAGAATGGAAGAGGCACACTGCTATGAGTAATTCATAGCAAAAGGCTCTAGGTGGGAGGTTGCCTTCCTTGAGCTTTCAGGCCTGGGAAAAATGTATATGGAACTCCTCATTCTTGTATATGCAGATGTTGATCCTCCCTATGTGTTTTTCAGTCATGTGATAATCCTGGGGGATCTGAATACGGCCCATCGACCCATTGACCACTGTGATGCAGGCAGTATGGTAAGTCTCCCTCCGAACTCTAGGCCACACTCTGGTTCTGTTCACCCAGCCAGCCAAGACTGGGAGTTTGGCACCAGTGGTAGCTTCCTTTATGGAAAAATAGTGCTTGGTTTGAATATGTCCTGTTTTCATCCTGAAATTATATGTAATAATTGTGTATATTTATGGAGTATGATGTAAGATTTTGACATGTATAATGGTCAAATAGGGTAAATTACCTTATCTGTCACCTCAAACATTTGTCTTTCTGTGTGGACAAACGTTCAAAATTCTTTCTACTACCTGGTTTGAAATATCAAATAATTTATTGCTAGCTATTACTATACCATGGAACTAGTCTTTATCTTCCTATCAGCTGTTCACATTAAATAGTCACTCTATCCCTTTCTTCCTACTTCTCCTGGACTCTGGTAACAACTATTCAACTCTGCTCCATGAGATCAATGTTTTAGACTTTCATATATGAGTGAGATCACATGGCATCTATCTTTCTAAGCTTGCCTTGTTTTTCATGTCTTTCAGTTCTATTCATTTTGCTGCAAATGATATTTATAGTTTTTTCTTCTTTCTGCCTAAAGAGTATTGTATTTTATATATGTATTATGTTTTCCTTATTTGTTCATGAATGAATATGTAGGTGGCTTGTGTATCTTGGCTGTTATAAATGATACTGCAGTGAACATGGGAGTACAGATGTTTCATGGACATACTGATTTCATTTTCTTTGTATAGATACTGATAGTGGGTTTTCTGGGTCTTTGAAAATAGCCATTCTATCAAGACTGAGAGGAAGATGTTATCTGTTGCACTGGATATGGTTCACATTTCTCTGATAATTATGTCATATGCATATTGTCCACTTTTATATCCTTTCTGAGAAATGTTTATTCAGATTATTTACCAATTTTTTGTTTGTTTGTTTTGTTTTTGAGACAAGATTTCTCTGTATAGTCCTTGCTAGTCTAGAGCTTACTCTATAGACTAGGCTGGCCTCAAACTCAGAGATCCACCTGCCTCTGCCTCCCAAGAGCTAGGATTAAAGGCCTTTACTGATTTTTCAATCAGATCTATTTTTTTTTGTTAAGATTTATTTTTCGTAAATGAG